ATAAAAGATATCAAGTATTTCATTTTCCTTAAGAGGATGGTCAGGCAAAGCATTAAGTAATTGGAGAAGCCTCCCCCAAGCTTGTGGGAGACTCTCTTCTTCAATTTGCACAAAATTATATATATCCCTTAAAGCAGCTTGTTTCTTATGAGCATGGAGATATTTAGCAGAGAAGTAATAAACAACATCCTGGGGACTACGCACACAACCAGGATCAAGAGAATTAAAGCATATCTTAGCATCAACCTTTAATGAGAACGGAAATATTTTAAGGATATAAAAGTAGCGAGTTCTCTCATCTTTAGTAAACAGGGTAGATATATCATTTAATTTAGTAAGATGTGCCACAACAGTTTCAGATTCATAGCCATGAAAAGGATCAGATTCAACCAAAGTAATTATATCATGATCAACAGAGAACTCATGATCCTTATCGGTAACACAGATAGGTGAAGTAGCAAAAGCAGGGTCAGGTTTCATTCTAGCATTTAGAGATTGCTTATTCCATTTAGAAAATAACCTCTTAAGTTTGTATCTATCTTTGCAAGCTAAACTAGCTAAAGAGGCTTCTTGATCAAAAACATAACCCTCAGGAATAACAAGTCATTCTTCATCGTCACTTTCATCAGTATTATCAGATTCAATATTTTCAATCTCTCTAGCCCTAGCAAGTTGTTCATCCAGAAATTCACCAAGTGGCACAATAGTATCAAGCATAGAAGTAGTTTCATCATAAGTATCATGCATAGCAGAAGTAGCATCATCAATAACATGTGACATATCAGAACGAATAGCAGAAGCAGGTTTATGTGTCGCAAGCTTACTCAAACAGAAGGTGAATCAAGTGCAGAGCTAGATGGCAGTTCCTTACCTCCCCTCGTAGTTGAGGGATAAATCTTGGTTCTTGGATCTTCCAAGCTCTTCATAATGATAAGCAGATATAAATCCCAAGTGACTCAAAGAATAGAGCTATGCTCCCTGGCAACGGCGCCAGAAAATAGTCTTGATAACCCACAACTATAGGGGATTGCAACAGTTTTCGAGGGTAAAGTATTCAACCCAAATTTATTGATTCGACACAAGGGGAGCCAAAGAATACTCTCAAGTATTAGCAGCTGAGTTGTCAATTCAAACACACCTGAAAACTTAGTATCTGCAGCAAAGTATTTAGTAGCAAAATAATATGATAGTAGTGGTAACGGTAACAAAAGGTAACGGTAGTAAAAGTAATGTTTTTAGTATTTTGTAGTGATGATAGCACTAGCAACGGGAAAGTAAATAAGCCGCCTACAATATTAATAATCACATAGCAGATGTAGCAGAAGGGCGCATGAGTAGGGTCGTGTGAACCAGGTATCAGCTGCCTACAATATTAATAATCACATATTCCCATCATTTGTTTTCAAATGTCCTAATCTCACAGTCTTGACATCTTTTGTTTCACTTTTCAGTGGTTACAAAGCTCCAGAGTATGCATCTCGAGGAGTTTACTCGACGAAGACAGATGTGTTCAGCTTTGGCATTTTGGTTCTGGTGATTATTAGTGGCCGAAAGAATACCATACTCAACAAGCAAGGGGATACTGTTGGTGATCTTGTACGAGATGTGAGTGAAAACATACATTTCAAGCAACATTTTTTATCCGCTCTCAATATTAGAAAATAGGCTTACTACAATTTTTTTACTTGAGTGGTGAGTTTTAACCTATACCATTGCTTGGCATCAAAAGTTGTGAACTTTTCTAATAGGGTGTGGAAAAGCAAGACTTATTTTAATACCTGGCCCATATAAATTGCATTGCATCTCTTTAAAGTCAAATGTATTATACATTTCAGACCTGGCATATGTGGAAGGACCAAAGGTTGCATGAGCTTGTGGATCCGTTGTTAGGGGACAGATACGAAGTCACGGAGATAATGAGATGTGCTCAGGTGGCACTGCTTTGTGCTCAGGAAGATCCAGCAAATCGGCCCACCATGACAGATGTTGCTGCAATGCTGAACTCTGAAAGCATAAGCTTACCAATGGAGCCTAAGCAGCCCGCTAAGCTAATCCATGGGTGTGCTGACAGAGACACGACATCAACATACATGTGCCAATCAAGCAGGACAATACACATAACCATAACAAGTTCAGCTCCAATGTTGACTAGAGTTCGAATCATTCTAGACAATGTCGACTAGAGTTCGAATCATTCTAGACCCAGAGGTTTGATATGATGAACATTTAGTGCTACCATCTGGAATATATAATTAGAATGTAAGGATTATGTGCCTTTTTTACGGCTCAGGTAGTGTAGATATCAAGACCTGTTTTGTGGAGTGAAAATAATTAAATAAACATGTGTCTGTGGTTGGTACCAGCTACCAGACTGGTTTTCCATCAGGTACATTGTAATTCAGACCTACAATGTTTCATTTTTTGTTGTTCCTATTTTCTACGGCACCAGAGCTAGGGATTTCGGAATCTTTGCAAGCTGGATCATCAGATTTGTCAAGTTCGGTTGTAGATGCTCTAACTACACAGGCTTTTTTCGACTTCGATCCTCCTCAAGTTCGTCAATCTGGAGCTCCGACGTAGATTCCTGCCGTCGCCTTAGGGCAGCGAGCTTAGAGTTTCTTACCGTGCATGCGCAACGGCGAGATTTGATGTCAGTTGCTTTAGATTTACTCCCTCAGTCCCATAATATAAGACATTTTTGCAAGCTGTTTTAGCTTAGCTTGCAAAAACGTCTTATATTATGGAATGGAGGGGGTATTCAAGAGTGCTCACTTGCACGAAGACTTCCTAGCTATCATCGACAAGGTAAGCCGACTCTGATATGGGAGCGGTTATAGCGGTGCGTTGGTGGCACATAGGGCTGTTGTTCAATGGTCTAGAAACCTTGATGTAATTTTTATTATGTGTGGGGTCCTTTGTACTTCCTCTATAAATAAATATAAGAGTGTTTAGAACACTAAAGCTTTACCGAAAAAGGCTTTCGTCCCGCTTTATATATAAACCATCGATCAACAACACTCGATACAAACACACGCCCCCACAACACACACCCAAGGCAGGATACATAGGCGTTGAGCGCAAGAACATCATTCCTAGCACTACGCGAAGAGGTGAAGCCGCATATGATGAACCGTGGGCTCCAAGACGGCGCCTTTAGGAAGGGGACGACACCGGAGCGCCGCCACCGCCCGATCCGAAGATCAGCGTTTTCCCTGGAACAACACGACGGGCAATGAGAGCCGCGACGACACCTTCAAGAAGGGAACGAGTTTCGCCACCGCCGATCCGTCCGAAGATAGAGCAGGTTTTCACCCCGGGCACCATTCACCGCCACTGATCGCCACACCCCGGCTACCACGCCGCCCACACGGCCGTGGCAACTGGGCAGCACCAAGCCACAGGCTCTGCCCATGAGCACCGCGGACCCACCACCAGGGCCGCCGCCCCGGCATCCAAGACCTTAACACCACCTCATCCGAGATCCGCCGCTACCCCAACCAAAGACACGAGCGGAAAGGACCCGCCTTTCGCACCCCTGGGCTACCCCCAGTGCTGAGACCCAATTGGCCGGCCAAAACTGGCCTCCATCGACCCGTCTTGCGGCACCGGGCGTGAGATGAGCTCGGTCCTGCTGCCGGGGCGAGGCGAGCATGGTCCTGCTGCCGAGCGCAAGACGAGCTCGGTCCTGCTGTCAGGCGTGAGACAAGCTCAATCCTGCTGCTGGGTGCGAGACGAGCTCGGTCCTGCTGCCGAGTGCGAGGCGAGTGATGGACCGCAGCTGGGGGAGGGCCAACCCTTCGACCAAGCTAGCGGTCGAACGACGAGATGAGGGATTGAAGGTCGAACCGGGCCGCCTACAGATGAGCCGACGCCGGCAATCCATCCGCCACCGTAGCCGACCCACCGAGCTGCCGTGATGCCAGCTCCGCGAATGGAAGCTCCAAAGAGTCGAGCCACCTCGCCGCCGCCGCCCACAACCAGAGCAACAGCCACACCGGGCCGCTACCCTAACCCGCCCCGGCCATCGGAAAAGCTGCATCATATCCGGCCGGTGCGCATCCACCTTAGCTGGCCAGAGCCTAGCCAGCACGCCATCCGCGCCCGACCAGGAGCAGCCCGACGCGCCACCACCACCACCCTCCAGCGCCGCTGGTTGCCCAAGACGCCACCAACCACCACCGACCCGGATCTGGGCATGGAACCCCAGATCCGCAGCCTACACGCCTCGCCTCGGCAACGGGCACACAACAGTGAGCCAGGGCGTAACGGGAGCGAGACCACACCAAGAGAGGCCCCCAGCCGCCGGGGGGAGGTCGGAGCCAGGGACAAGAGCCGCACCACGCCATGGCAAGGAGGGCGAGCCCCGCGTCGCACCACGCCAGCCAGGGAGGGAAAGCAGCCCCGCCGACGTCGACGTCGCGTGGGCTTTGCCTGGCAGCGCCCGTTGGCGACGGCGAGGGGAGGAGGGGCGAGAGGAAAGGCCTTTGGCGGCGGAGAGGGGCTCTCCCGGATCGCCCGTAGGGGGGGAGGGGGAGCGACACGGAAGACGGGGCAGCCTGTCCCACAGTTTACAGAGGAACACTCTTCCTTGGAGGTTGGAGCCCCACACTAAAGCTTTGGTTGCCACATTTTCTTACAAGCAGTGTACTAAACGCTCTTATATTTTAGTGTTCTATAAATGCTCTTATATTTCTTTACAGAGGGAGTACTAAAGCAGTGTTCTAAACGCTCTTAATATTTCTTTACAGAGGGAGTATTTTCTATAAACTTTTATAAGTTTTTTTTTAAAAAAGGTCCTTTTATTTTGAAAAGACCATTGGTCCCAAATTAAGAAGAAAATGTGGCAACGAAAAGTTCCTGAAAAAAAAATGCAACGGAAGTCCACAGTCCACACATTTACCACGCTTAGTCAAAGTCGCCGATCCACACACAAGCTCACCGATAGATACACCCGAGCCCGTCAATGGCGGCAATGAGGACTGCAGCGGGGAGCAGCGAGCATGGCGAGCCCGTCGAGCAGCCTGTGGGGCGCCCTGGGGCAAGCCTCCACCATGGCGCAGCTGATGGGCGTGGACGCGCTCGGGCTGGTCTCCATGGTCGTGCAGGCCGCCCTGGTGGCGCGCCGCCACCGGGATGCCTGCGTGCGGCTCGCGCAGCACGTGGAGCTCGTTGGCGGCCTGCTCGGGGAGCTGGAGCTCGCCGAGCTGTTGCGTCGGGAGGCCACCAGGCGGCCGCTGGAGCAGCTCGGCGGCGCGCTGCGGCGGTGCTACGCGCTGGTCACGGCGTGCCAGGACTGCGGCTACCTGCGCCGCCTGCTCCTGGGAGCCCGGATGGCCGAGGAGCTCCGCGCCGCGCAGCATGAGATCGACATGTTCATCCGCCTCATCCCGCTCATCGCCCTCGTCGACAATTCCACTGCAGATAGTCGCCGTGTCAAGGTTAGTAAGCAGTATCAAAATTGGGGTAACCACTGATTTCAGAGCTGATATCAAAACTGAAACCTCTGATTTCAGAGCAATTTTACTTAAATTCGGTCGAACTGAGTCTGAATTGGGGTCCAATTGCAGATTGTTAAATGTTAATTGCCAGTTAAACAATTCGATATCCTTAATTTACAGTGAGTAATGCTAGAGCTACGGGGGATTGCTTACGGATTTAACGGACTAATTAATCGTGGACCAATAGGATTGGAGATTACAGCTAACCTCAACCATACAATCTGTGCTGGTTAGTTGTACATCAATAACAATGATATTTGATATTGTCTAGCAGGCTGATGAGGGGGTGCTCACTGTAGTCACAGATAGTTCAAATCGTCACATCAGGTCAGATTATTCTTCCATTATGTAGCTTATTATTACAGGATGTACGCCACATCAATGAATTTGTTTTACTTAAGATGCAAAATGATTTGCAATATTCAAGTTAATGTCATGCTCAAGTTATGTACTATGCCATAAGTTCAGTTATACAGACTCAAATAGTCAAATGCATGAAGTTTCCCACTTCTTATGACTATTGAAACCAAAGCTGGGTGGCACAAGAATGATGAAATTTTCCTACATTTAGGATTCCAAACAAAGGAGCTAGCAAACTCTGCGGTATTGGAGAACACCCATTTGTAGGTAAGCTCGCTCTTCTGTGAATTTCCTAATGCGCTTAATCGTGGACTCAGATGTGGAAACTAATTGACTGAGGTTTCATGTCAATGCTATATGCTTCAAGGATTTCGGATTGCTTCATTGTATCCATATGAATGATTTTGATATGACTTTTGTTACACATGCATACTTTTTCATGAATTTAACTGTAGTAAAATAGAAGTTATTTAGCACGTCATGAAAGAGCACTAGCTACTGGAAGCAATCATACATGTATGATACTACCTCTGTAAACAAATATTAGACCGAACATAGAGTTCTGTACTTGAGAAATTCCTTTAGCACATAAGTATTTAATCCATTAGTAATCACATGAAACACAAACAAACTGGAGCATTTTATCAATAATTTGTATACTTTTAGTAGTGTCAATGTTCGTTAAATCTCCATTGGTGACAAGGATAGATTATCTGTGAGTCAGGAAAAGTGGACCTGCGAGAACAAAATATCGTTGACATTGAAGAACTTGTGGAACTTTGTACCCGTATGGAAGAGGCTTGCTCGGGATTCACAAGGTTCGATTTCTGTCAGATCTTGGATGCTACAGACAATTTCTCAGAGAAGATGATAGTTGGGTGGGGAGGATTTGGGAAGGTGTACAAGGTAAGCCAACATAGAAACAAGTTAACAAAGTGAATGCATATCTCCCTTGTCCTCCTAATAAAGTGTGGATGTCTGCTTAGAGAAAGTTAATTTTAACTCCCTTTTTAAAAATTACAGGGCCAGTTGCCTGGTGGACTTAATGTTGCCATCAAAAGAGCTGATGAGCACGCAGCAATGCTTGAAGTCAACAGTGAATTGCAGCTTGCAAAGCTTCAGCATGCCAATGTGATTAGGTTATTGGGGTGGTGCATCCATGGGAAAGAAAGGATTCTAGTGTATGAGTTCATGCAAAATGGTTCCTTGGATCGTTACCTATGCGGTAAGTTTTCCCTACTGTAAGTTATTTCCAAGCGTGCCTCATTTAATTCCAAGTATGTATGTGCACGAATGCAAACCGTCTACGATTAAATCAAGGCTACAACAACCCTAATTCCATGGGCCAATCAAGCAGGACAATAGAAGTAACCATAACGAGTTCAGCTCCAATGTCGACTAGAGTTCGAATCATTCTAGACTCGGAGGTTTGATATAATGGAGAACATTCAGTAGTAGCATATATATACAATAAAAATGTAAGCAAGGATTATGGTCTTTTTACGGCTCAGGTAGTGTATATATTCGAGATATTAAGACCAGTTTTGTATAGTGAAAATAAACATGTTTCTGTAGTACCAACTACCAAAATCTTTGCAAGCTTGATCTTCAGGTTTCTGAGATCATACATGGCAAACCAAAAGCTGGCATGTTCAACTTGAGAATAATCAGACTTCAACTCATTTTTTTTTTCTGTTTTTTTTTTGCGCATAATCAGACTTCAACTTGACAAGCAGCAACTACAGAGCTCAGAGTTAAGATCTGCAGCTGCACACAGTACAAACACATCAGGATCTCCAAATAAGCGCTGTTCTGGATTGAAAAAAGACCCTGATGCGCCTGAATATCTCCATACAAACACATCAGGAACTCTGAACTGAAGCAGAGAGACGTAGTAATCAGAAGCCATGCCTGGGCCGACTCGGATTCAAAAACCAAAGTGCGCGTTTTAGCTATGCCGGCCTGGGCCGACTTCGACTCGGATTCAAACACTTCACTGCCTCCCGCGTCCTTATTTTCTTGCTCGCCGTGTTTCCCCAAATCCCGATCCATCAGACCACGCCCTCCGATCAGCCTCCCTCGATCCATCTTCCTCTCTCTCTCAGTGCCGGATCGTTGCTCCTCGATCAACTCCGCGGCCGCGACCATGGCCGGCACCACGGTGCTCCCGCCGTCTCTGCTCCCGCGCCGTAGCGCCGCCGCCTCCGCCGACCTGCACTCCTGCTCCTCCCGCGTGCGCGTGAACCCTGCCTTGATGGCGAACCCCGCGGCTGCCAAGAAGCCAAAGCGCCCCGGATCCATGCGCGGCGAGCAACCGCCGCCGGCGAAGCGCCTACGCGGTGCCTGCTCCGGGGGCGAGCTCCATGTCGCCGTCCCCGCCAACATCAAGAACGGCAGCAAGCTTCCGTCTCCCATCAGCGGCAAGGATCTGCTCCACTCCTCCGCAATCAAGAACCAGGTCGCCGAATCTCCGGCTGCCGCGACGCAATCGAAGCCGCAGATGAGCATGCGCGAACTGATCGCGAACGCTCGCCTCACCATGGCTCGCCTCGACAAGGCTCGCTCTGCCTCCAAAGAAGAGGCCAACCGTTGGCAGGAGATCGAGCGCAGCAGAGCAGAGGCCCGGCGAAAGATGGAGCAGATGGCGGACACGGTGCAGTTCAACGACCCCTGGATCCATCACTCCGACGTGACCAAGTCCCCTGAGGAGCTGCTCAAAGCAAGACAGCACGCATGGCGTTATCAAGCTCACCTCCTCGAGATGGCTCGTCGACGGGACTTTGCTCAAGCGATGCAAATCCAGGATGAGCGCTCGGGTGATGGAAGCATAGGAAGAAATCATCAGCAGTGCAGGCTTGCTGGTGGTAGTCTTGCATCAGAGGAAGCAAAGCAGAGTTAAGCTAGTCCTTCCTAAACCATTCACACATGAGTTTCATTTAATCTTTGCATCTCTAGGTTCTGCACTTAATCACCAAGATTTCTAGTGTTCTTTCAATCCCTTTCAGTCATTAGTAATTTTACAAGAGTGTCAGCAGAGTCTCCATCTAGCTAGGCAGCAAAAACCTTGTTAAGATGTGTACGGCATAGTTACACTACATCCACACCTGGTCCTAAGTAAGGGTTTAAGTAAATAAAGGGCATTTTCAATAAATCAAAGTAAAGCAGATGAGCCTAAAAAGGAAGCTCATGTACTGCAATTCCGGCACGAGACAGAGCGTAAAACGCACTCGCCGCAAAATCCAAAATGCCCGTTTGCTACCCGGCTTGTAGCAGGCAAAAAGGAGTAGAATTGAACTTGTCGATACACACAGTAATCATGTGAGCTGCCTAGCGTCTGGAGACTATGCTGACCCTCCTGTAAAATTAATCTTGGCTGACTTGGATTCTTAGGCATTGGCGTCGTGGTGAGTTAAAGTTGCAGTTTCTGACGAGTAGCATTGGTTGGTGAACTCTTGTGTGTATGTGTGAGTGAAGCTTTGAGCTAAGCAAGTCCTTGATGTACCGACTATCAAGTCATACTGTAATCAATTTTCGATATGAATGAGAAAATTGTTGGTCTGAATTTTGCAGAGCATCTGAGTAATCTTTTCGTATCTATTTATTCTTGTATGCTTCTGTGGCTTCTTAAAGCATTCTGCTGCTCTAGTCGGAAAAGTGTGTACTGAGGCACAGATCCAATGAATTCATCTCTGATTTCACAATACTTCGTTTGACGGGACTTTGCTCAAGCGATGCAAATCCACGGATGACTGCAATCCACGGGTGATCGAAGCAGAGGAAGAAATCATCAGCAGTGCAAGCTTCTTGGTGCTAGTCTTACATCAGAGGAAGCAAAGCAGAGGAAGCAGAGTCGGCAGTTTTCCAGTAGCTGAGAAAATCAGAGCAAGCAAAGGATGGGATGGATAAGATACAAGTTGTCAACTATGTTATCTACTAGTTGCAAGTTTGTAGGAGTATTTCACTGGCATATTTTCCAGTAGTGCGAGTGAGATTCTGGATTTGGCCATTAATTAGTGTGCATTATGATCACAATTGGTCAATTAATGCAAGGGATTTGATTCATGTAAGAACATTGGATCTCTTTCTACGTTTTCATCTGTTGTATGTTCCTTCCTAATAACAATTCTTTTCATGAACAAAGAAGATTACTGCTGTGCTTGAACTATTCTAAATCACTGTTATTTTTCAGGAGAAGAACAGATATATGTCCCCGTCTAGAAAATTTTATACCACAACAATTCAGAATTTATTTGTCGCATCAGGAAGGCGCCAAAAAGCATGTCTCCTGAGCTCCTGAATCCTGATGCATACATGCATCATTGTTGCCAAGTGCTCATGTATACTTGCTGTCTGAATTTTGCAACTCCTACAGATTTCGTTTAGTACAGTTGCTGTATATGCCAGGCCAGCAATGGTGCTTACTTCATTTAATTAACATATTCATTGGCATGAATCCCCTGAGTTAAGGGAATTACAATGCATCATACCTCATCTGAAGCTTTATAAAGATAGGACTTCAGTGAGAGACAACACAATATTATCCATGAAGCTTCTATTAAATTTTAGTATATTTTCAAGTTCATAAGCTAGCGGCTTCTACAAATGATGAATCGATG